TTAGGAAGAGGGGAGGAAAGATGAGGATTTGGTAACAGCTGTGGAGGCGTTCATGGCTGCAACCAGGGCAGTAAGAAGGGGAGCAGAGAGTTTGTTCCTGCTATCAAAGTATCACACTTCTCTACCCCCACAGACAAGCTTACTCTCCGTTGTTGTAGAGGAGGCATCAACTGATTATCAAAGTCACGGATTTAGGTTGAGCAATGTGGCTTTTATCCTGGCTGTGGAGCATGGAGGAGATCTTTACCCTTCCAGACATGCTGATCGGGTCATGGGAGTATGATTCTCCAGTCTACAAATGTTTCATGGATCTTCAGATGGCTTGGTACTGTGTCCCAAATGGTATTCTGTGGGAGGTTTTGTGAAAATGTGGTGCATCTGTGTGGATTTTAAGGACTGTTCAATCCTTGTAGTCCTAAACAAATTGCTGTGTCCGTATTCTTGGCACAAAGTTGAGCTTGTTCCCAGTGAATGGTGGACTCTGCCATGGCTGCCCATAGTCATGGTGCTGCTGGTGGTGTTCATGGACAGGATTTTAAAATGTGATCTTGGAGAGGATAGTCTCTAGTTTGGTACTCATAATCTCATCTTTGCTTTTCACAGACAATGTAATTCTGTTGTCCTCTTTTGGCCACAACCTTCGGTGTGTACTGGAACGGTTTTCAGCTGAGAAGCAGCAGGGCTGAGCGTAAACTTCTTTAAATCCCTCTGAGTTGAGGGTCAGTCTGCATCAGGCAAGAAGAGTTTAAGTATTGTGGTGTTTTGTTCAAGACCAAGAATTGGAACAAGAGATGGACAGGCAGATTGAGGCTTTGTCTGCATTAATGATGGCACTGCTCCGGTTTGTGGTGGTGAAGAAAGAGCTAAAAAGAAAGCTGGTATAAGTTACAACCCTCATCTGTAATTTTGAGATATCTATCCTGATTGATAGAAGGAAGTCTTGGATGCAAGCAGTTGAAATGAGGTTCTGCCACTTGGAAGGGAGCTACAACTTCCTCGCATCTAAAGGCATTCAATGAGTCCCAGCATCTGATCCTTGTGGAGGTTTTCTGACCACATCCCTCAAGAAGGAGACCTGGGGAAGACCCAAAATGTGCTGGAGAGACTACATATCCTGGTAATGCTTTGGGATCATTGAAACAAACTGGTGAGTGTCTTTGGGAGATGGATGTCTGAGTTCCCCTGCTGGACCTCTTATCCCTGCCACCGGATCTTTGATCTAGGTCAGGGGAGGACAATGGATCGATGGATCAATGGATAGATGAATGATGCAGCAGCATCAACACAATATTTATGATGCTGCTTCATATTTTCCATTGGTCTTTGGTTTAGGAGCTAAATGGGCTGTCAGTGAGCCTACTGCACTGAACAAGCAAAACTCAGCTATTCTCTCTCACAAAGATTTTGGGGTAACTTAAAATTTCATCCTGAATTTTTCCATATTTCTATATTGTTATAGTAAAGCAGAAAAGTGAAAACTGGACAAAAAAGTGTTTATACTAGCTGGCATTTGTGAATTTAATTTACTGTTCTAGAAACACATCTTTTTATATTACTTTTTAGAGGCAGCGCTCATCACAAGACAAAATCAATAAATAAGAGTATTAGTTTTGCTCTAACAGAAGGCTATGCTGCTTTATGGCTGTAAGCTGTTGTCTTTATTGAAATGACTCCCTTGTGCTTCGAATGAGATTAGGTTATTTATGGTTATTTAGCATGCACAGACAAGAGCCACAATCTTAATCCTCTATGTAAGATGAAAATCTGTCTGAGGGGGTGAGAATCTGGTGGGAATCTGCCCCTCCATGGCTGTGAATGTGGAATGAAGATCACATTCTGCATGTAAATTCACTGTTGAGGGGTTTAGATTTCTATTTATCCATATTTATTTCCTTTCCAGCAGAAAGGCTTAGTGTTTGCTTAACCCTTTGAAGGGTGATTAAGCTTATTAAATATTAAAAACCCTTTTACATAATTCTTCAGTAACATTTTATAAAGTACATCATTTAAGATAAATTCTTTATTCATTTTAGGACATCGAGAGTAAAAATTGGAAAATAAAAATCTTAATGCTGGTTGTTTGGATCACTATTTATGTCGAGATATACATGCAAATGGGCATCATTGTCATAATTTGGGCCTTTATAGTGAATACAGTGAATACATCCTGAATTCAATGTGGATTTTCTTTAATCCACACTGGATCAAAATTACTCATACAGGCTTAAATATCTATATGCATATAGAATTATTGTTTCTGCCCCAGATTTTATGAAAAGATTATGAATTTCCAACATTCTTGAGGTCAATGCCTTTGGAAATGACTTCCTATAACCTTTGTGCGTCCAGATTTCAACCACCTGATCTAAACTGTCAGATCAGTTTAAACCACCTCATTTCTCAGGGCAGTTTATTAGGATTTGTGGGAACATCAGCTTCACCGTTAAGAAAGTTTGATTTAATAATGGACTGAGCAGACGCTGGTGCACAAATAATCTTCTGCTCTGAAATTGACACAGTCAGGCTTGACTGAGGTTTGCAGCTGCCCAGCTGGAAAAGCTGCCTGGTCTGTTGAGGTGAAGGTCAGAGCAGAAGAAGACGGAGTTATTTGGCCTCAGTGACCAGAAGGATGTTTTGAAGGCGTCAAAGAGAGGTTTTCAAATCATATAACACTAAACTAACCAGTAGCGCCTGCAGCTGTACAGCTGTCCGCATGATGTGTAGCTTGAGATTTTCTTTTGAGTATAAATTTTTTATTATTATTTTCTCCCTCTACTATTAATAAAATTGTGGAGAAATATAAAAATGATCTGTTGTGTCAAAACTTCCTGTAAGTAGCTCACATCTGTGTAGGTCTGTGGGGGATGGGCACATCCTCAACCTAAATGTTATTGGTCGGTTTACTTTTGTTTACTTGGCGGCTTGGCGCTCTTTCTGTAAGCTAAATGTGACTATGCAATGAAGCTAGCTAAAAATGAATTGACATATTTTTAACCCTCTCTCAGTCCTAAGATGGGTCACGTTGCACGGTCCCCAGCATTCACACTGACCCTGTGTGCGCTTTAACAAGTGCTACTTTTGTTGAGGTTTTGGGAACTGAACTGACTAGACATTCCCATTGCTTCTCCGTTAACATACGATAAAATCTGCCACACTCTTCTTGAGCATTGCGCTAAGACTTCGGGAAAGTTAAAGAGTTAAATGTAGTCTGAGTGTTTTCCAAAAACAGGATAAATTAAGCAAAAGTTGCTTCACCTCCTCATCCTCTGGATGTCTCAGTCACTCCACCTGAACCTGGGAATCTCCGTCCTCCGGTTTGCTTTCCTGTTTTTATAATTTAGTGTAATTTGTAACAAAGTACGCTATGCAGGCATATAAGCATGTGAGTGTTTAGCATTGAGCACCTTCAGCCATGCATGGATCAGATGCGCTGTTTTTGTGGGTCATGCACAGTTAGTTAGGTTTGTGCGCCGTGCTGGGGATGTGGTTTTGCTCGTGGGTTCAGGTGAAGTGATAGTTTTTGTGCATACCATCTGATAATATCCTGCAGGAACCAATGATACTAACTGGTGGCATCCTGCTGTGAGGGTATGATGCTGCTAGTTGTACTGATGCACAAAGTGGATAAAATAACAAGTGGATAGAATAACAAAGAATAGGGAAACCTTCAAGGTCTCCAAATTTGCCTGAGCTCAAGTCAGACAGTTAAAATCTGGATGCTCTCACATTGAAAGTCTGTACTAATTTTCTTTGAGTGAATCCGAAAATATCTTCAGACTTTTTCAAGTTTCCCTCTAGCAGTAGTCATTTATTAGAAAACAGCTGTATTACCTAGAGATGAATTTATAAAAAAAGAGAACAGACAAGCTTGGTATTGTAGTCTCCAGAGCAATGGGGTTCAAAGGCACTGATGAATGTTTCGAACATCCCAGGCTTCTAAATATAGTTTCAGATCAATGCAGTGGGGAACGATCTCCATTATAACAAGCGGGACAGCCACTGAAGACGGATATCTGAGGATGTCAAGTATTCCTGTTGCGCAGTCAGGTAAATATAGTCTGTAACAGGAACTAATCCGTATCTGGGGACGCGCAGACAGGCAGCTTGCCACAAATTCTTGTACAGTATCCCTCATGCCAATGAAAGCTGTTAAAGTGGCTAAAAGAGAGAAGTAGGGGAAAATTGATAGAAAATAAAAGAAGACAAGTTGAAAAGATCTGAGTTGTAGTCAAGAAGCTGTGACAGTCCCTTAAGATACTTACACCGAGTGGAGCAAAGATCAAGAAAAACTGGAGCGGAATGAAAGCAAATGGATCCCAGTGGTAACAAAAACATTTAGTGCCATAATCCCCAAACTGCAGAGGAGTCCCAAACAGATTGTAAGCTTCTTTGTCCAAAAATATTTCTTCCAGAAATGTTCCCCTTAAATATAGAGACATACCAAAGATTCAATCTCTTCCAGCTTTCAGTCACGTATTTTGTAAAGCCGTCAACAGTTTAACACATTTCAGATTCTTTTCAAGAGCCTTAAACAACAATTAAAGACCTATACGTTTTGAAAACAGAGCTTTCCCAACAATAAAGGATTCACAGTAGGAAAAAAAGCAATAGTATTATGACAAGCAACACAACTGTGTCTCTCTGGACATTTACAAGTACAGTAAAAGTTTTAAGATTTACAAGACAGAAGTATCTGAATAAAGAAAACAACAATCAAGGAAAAGAAATGAGCAAAATGTATTACAGAATATATCCTCTCCTGCATTTAGGAGCTTTAGGAAAACTTTACATTTGAGGGTCTGCTCACTTATTCTGTGTTGTTTTCATGCGTCACATTAAATGTGGCAAAAGTTTAGAAATTTTTTTTCTTGGTCTAATTTGTTTAAATCTGGTATTTTATGAGCACTTTCTACATCCACTTCCTTAGAAAACAGTTTCCTGTATAGATTTTCTTGTCATTTTTAAAACACCTGACTTCTATAGAAATATATCTGAGTGTTCTTCCCTTATTAACAATTCCCACACCAAAAAGTGTCTGACTCATATAAAACAAGTCAGACTGTTAGTTTACTGTTTGCCTGATTGCTCTGTTTCATCACAGCTTTTCAGTGCAGATCAGATGAGCTTGTCCTGAACAAATCAGATGATTAAATCTCTCAGGTTAAAGCAGTGACACTCTCCGGATTATTGTTGTACAGAGCTGTCGGTTTGTGTCTGCTTCACCAGCTCAACAAAAGGAGAGGAGAAAAGTGAGGAAGAGGATGAGAGGGCAGTGGCATAATGAAAACATCATTGTATGGGAGGAGATGCTGATCTAATCAGTGAGGAAATGAGGCCTGAGAATGCCCAGTCATTTTGGACTCATTTCTACGTCTCCTTTTAAAGCCGCTCAGCCATCGATTAGCCCCAGAGGAGCTCCGGACAGGAAACGACATGATTAGATGGCTCCCCAATTTGAACACTTTCCTTCTGCTGCACGTTCAAAAACTCACAGGTAAGATTAGAGCAGCTTGTTTTATGGTGATTTAACTGCAGGAATAAAAAAGTGTCACATAATTAAAGTGGCAAATTATTTATGCTTTATGTACTTTCTAAAATCTTCTACGTGTTTGCTCTGGTTACAAGCTACTAAATCTTTACACTGCAATTTATCAGAGAGTGAGAGGCAGCATGTAGAGCAGCTTCTGCAAAGAGTTATGCACACGTGTGTGTACAAATGTCAGTGGATAAGAAAACCTGTTTCTTCTTTCCTCACTTTTCACTTAAGCATCAAAAACAAAGTCCTACGCTGAGTTGTGTCTGCACACCAGGCTCTGCATGCACCCAGTAGAAACATGCTCCTGCCATGAGCTGCCCGCTGGTCGGACAGAGATGTGGAGCTCGGACAGAAGCAGACCAGAGAAAAATCTGGGAGACGTTCTCTCTGACTGACAGTTCACGGGGAAGCACGGCTGAAATCAACCTTCATTCCTCTTGTTGAGAAAAAAACAACAAGCTAAGAATTTGTTGTTCAGCAAAATTCCATCCCTTGTTCTACAATTAGTGGCATCCCTGCTGTTGATACTTTCTATAACTTCCTTTTGCCAATTAAATAGCACCTAGTCTTTTCCAATAGCATTTACAAGGTGAAGTGTGCAGTGAGGGATCTTTGACTGCTCCTGCAGATATTGATGGCTGCTTTGCTGCATCCCTTCTCCAACACACCTGGATCAAATTCAGTTTGAGTTCTGCAGAGAAAAGGTAACGAACCATTCAGGTGATTAAATTAAAGCTTGGATTTAAATTCAATTAATTGAATCCTTTTCTGCACATCTTCATGCACAGTGCAGATAATTATGGATGCACTAAATATATAACAGTAATTTCACTATAACTACTGTACACTTGAAATGAGACTAAACTAAGTAACTTTTCAGTCAAGTAGAGGAGCTTGTTTTAAGTAAGTAATTACTTACTATTAATGAAAAATCAATTGTTCCATCAGTAGATTATTTCGTTTATAACAACACATTTTTCCCGTGAATGAAATAATCTGTCAATGGAATAAATATTTTTTCATCAGTGTTGACGACTGTTAAGGAAAAGTTACTAATAAGTCAGTTTTCTTATTTTAACTGCACTAAGTTATTTCCACTAGAATCCAGACCAGAGTTACCTGGTAATATTTAGTGTTTAACATGTTAGCTGTTGGCTGTCTGAGTGTTTTGGAACGCCACATGTCCGCGGTATGAATGTAATTCCCTTAACAGATTTCCTTTTTGGGTAATCTGTTATGTTTTCACTTGTAACGAACCACACCTTTGCTCTTGTGAAAAAGAATCATACTTACATTCTCAGAGGAACTTTAAGGGATTTTGAAGCAGGGAGTTGTTTTTACTGTAACGTATAGACAACAAAATGAGTTCCATATGGTTCGGGTTGAGCTGGCCTCCAAACGGAGCCTGCACCACACCCCTGCTTATCACCCACTCTTAAATATGTGATCCCAACCAATTCTGTCAGGACCGAATCTTGCACGACACAGCAAGAATTATCTCTGAAACGAGTCTTGGCTCCCACATGTGAGACCTTTAAGATAGCTCTATCCTCTTATACTTATCCTTTAGAAGCACACACACACACACGTACACGCACACACAGCCACTTTTCCACAACGTGAGCTCACAAGGAGGAGAATTCTGATTAGGCTGCATCCAAAGCTGCCACCCACGGGACCCGAGGGAGATATGAATTTGAAAAGACACTACATTGCCAATATGAAGCGCCTGCATCACCGGGCAACAGGGACTCGTGTTGAGACGTGCTTTCCAGAGACCTGACAGGGTAGACAGGCAGGAGGGGAGGGGGGGCCGGGGGGGGGGGGGGAGAGAGGGGCATCTTGGAGCTGAATGTGCAGCAAAAAGGGTCTCTCATTAAAGAGCTACGGCAGCGAGCACACACACACACACACACACCTACACACACACACACCCCTGGCCAAGATGGTAATCATACAACCAGCAGAATATGCAGAATAAATGTGTTTCTTTATCTGCAACCAAGAGTACCACCAATTAGTTTAATCCCTAATTAATTAACTAATTACAGATGTTTGTTTTGCATGATCTTAATGACCAGAACTCTTGGTGTTAATGATAAGCACACTAAAACTGTAAGAGACTGTCAAGTCTAATTTTAAGTGTAAAGCTGCTCTTGTTTTATTAAAAGATCCCTTTACAAAAGAGTCATTCGGTTCTCAGAGGCTCGGCTAAATTAAAACAGGTTAAATGTTTTTAACAACCTGTCATATTTTTTTCTTACTCACTGCCTTTAATAAACTTTATAAAATACTAGCAGCTCATGGGATGATGTGGCACTTTTATTAGAGAAGTAACTCAGTTTAATAAAATATGCAGAATAAAGAGAACAGCTGATACCAGTGGCTTTAAAGCTCTCTATAGATTATATTGTATTGTTTCAGTTATGATCATATATGAAATCCAAGTGTTTTTGCTATTTCATCTTTAATAATAAAAAAGGGTAAAAAAAAAACAAAAACATTTCCATTTATCAATAACAATGTCTGAAAGTTAACAATACATTTTATTATTTCTTAATTACTCTGTAGATTCCTCATGTCAGCTTTGTGTAAATATGTCCCACTTTCAAAGATATTCTTAATATTTATTGAAGGAAAAGATGGTGAGAATCAGAGAAACATTTTCATGTTCACTGTCATGAATGACTGCGACTCCTATTTACCGACTGTACATCTCTGAAGTCCAGGAAACATCATATTAAAGATTTATTCTGTCATCAGTGGAAACGGATCTATGATTAAGACCAACATGGACTGACAGAATGATTCCTGTCAAAGAATCCTCTCGTCCAAAATTGACACTTTCAAGGTTGACTGTAATGTTCTGCTGCTTTGTATGGACAGGCCAAAAGACTTCAGGACAAAATGTTGGTATTCAGGAGAGACGGTCAAACTGTTTGGCCACAGCGACCAGAGGACTGTTGGAGGAGTCAAAGTCAGGGTGTCCAACTTTCTGAATGCAGCACTAAACTTGGTCCCAGTTGGGGGTTTTACTATGATCCCCAAAAATGTATAATGTAATGTAAGCAGAAGTACTAATGAGACGTAGTCAGGCAGAATTACTGGGGTAAAATATTGATGGCTTTAAAACGCATGTAATTTCACTGAAACTTGTAACAAAATTTATGTATTCATTTATTTTAGCTTCTATGTATTTTTTGACACTGTGGATTAGGAAAATTGACAATGAATTCAAACTTGTGCATCTTATTTTTGTTCTTGGCAGAACATTAATAAATCACTATAAGCATGAAATCTTTGACACTCATGTTAATTATGTATGTATGGAAATTCCAGTGCTAACTTAATGCTCCATTTGCAATAAATCATAAACAGGGCTCTGAAACCAGAGTAAGACCCTAATAACTTAAAGCATTTTCAAAATAACTTTATTGAAACAAAACAAACCAAAAATAACTTAAATGCCTGGTTCACAATAACAGCCTGACACGTTTCTTTTTTTAGTCGCACAGAGATGCCGATGTCTCTATCTCCACATAAACAGATGCGCTAATGTTTTCCACTGCAGTGACAGCTGTTATGGTTTGCTTAGATGCAGATGATTTTATTTGACAAATATATAAATAAATAAGAATAGTCTTTTCACTCTGTGGTGTTTTGGATTACCCAGGAGAATGTGGATGTTGTTGAAAATACGAGCCTGAAGGATCAGATCTGCATGGATGACACCTTAAGCTTAGTGTGCAGTTCATCATTTTACCTCAGTGTCAATAAGGAAGGATACTAACACAAAGTAAAGCTGATTTTCATTATATCTATATTTGAATTTTTTTCAAAGTAATTCAACATAATTCAGGAAAATTGTGACATTCATCAGCTGTAATTAAATAATTCTCTAAAACTCAATTTTAAGACTCACTTCTCAGTGATTTTGAAAGACGAATTATTTATTTGAATCCAATTTTTGCTCACTGGAGGGCTTCATCTCTCTGCCTTTCTTTATTACCTGCACTTACTGTATTACAGGAATGATAATAAATGGAGCAATCATGCATGAAATGATGCTCATAACAAAACCGAAATCACACAGACAAACAGAAACAAAAAAAAAAAAAAAAAAACAGTCCTAGGGCATGAAAACAGAAAATATTTCAGAGCCACTCCCAGAGATGATTGGCTTCATATGTTATCCTGTCATTCCACAGGCTGCTACACCAGGATGGAGTTGGTGAAGAATGGGAGCAAGAAGATCAGGAGAGGAGGAGAGAGCGAGGAAATTTAAGGGAAGGTTTGAAGAGAAATGGCAGGATGCGATCGCGCTAAAACGAGAGTGGAGGGAGAGGTGATTAAAAGAGAAGAAGGGGTGGAGAAGGAAACGAGTAAAAAGGAGGAAAACAGATGAGGTGAGAAGAAAATACAAACTAAGACACAAAGGGAAAAATGGGAGGGAAAGAAAGAGAAAGGGGATTTCTGATGAGGGAACAGATAAAAAAGAGTAAATCCAATCGTCTCTTACTGAGGAGACAGCCAGACTTGGAAAACAAAACCTATTTGACAAGAGAGAAGTAAAAGCCCAATGAATCCCAGCAGACTGGATTCTGGCTCTTTATTCCATCTGTTTCTGTTCTCTGCTGCTGGAAGGAAAGCTGCAGGCCCGGCCCACCACCATGACTGGGTCATACAAGACTTGGAAAGTGCATCTCCTTCAAGATTTACACCCACGCACACAATCCTGGGAGAGTAGGCCTGACGCCAGATCACAACATGAACCAGCTGTTCTCCTGCTCTCGCACATTCGACCAACCAACAGCTCCAACCATGACTGACAGGCAGGGGGAAAAAATCTGGTGCTAACTGTAATTCTGATCTTGCATAACAGGCTTGAGGCAAAAGATAAGTCCGGGGATTTCTTGCCTCCAGATGTCCTGAATTTGCCAGCACTTGACCCAGTGACCCGACTGTTAGTCACAAGACCTGCTATCCATGGATGTCAGACATTAGCTGAACTGCAGCAACTAAATCACCAAACAAAACTCCCGTGGTTTTAACATTAAATCTATACCTTCTGTTCCATTTGGAGGTAAATCTACTGTTTCCTCCACAGAACAAATAAAGAGGCCACTCATTCTCAAATGTCCACAGCTCCATAACTTCAGAAAAAGATAAGGCATATTTTGCTGTCATAAAATCCAGAAATAAAAGAGGCATTTGGAGTTTAACGACCCTCATTTTTGCCCAGTACTCATTTTGACTGGTGATAATCAAAGCCTGCACATGTAGCATGCATGAACAACATATTGTTTTTAATGAATCTCCATTGGCATCATTTTGGGCTCTCCTGCTGTGAAGAGCTTTTATGACCCCTCTTGCCAATAGGAAGGCACTTTGAGTGTAAAGAAAAGGGAATCTTCAACCATCCTCTGCACAGTTTCAGCAGACCGCAAAGATTTTCCGTTGGATTTCCAACTTCCTGTTGTCTATTTCTTCTTGGTTTGTGCCAGTGGTGACATTCGGTTGTTGATCATGTGACTCAAGTGATGCAACAAAAATGTTTCTATTGCAGTTTTGCAAAACACATTTATTTCTATACGGATGAATAACCACGTTACACATAGATCAACAAATCTTGAAATTTTAAAACTGTAAATTATGACACTTTAAAATGTGTAACTCGTACACATTTAAAGATGATTTTATTTCAAGATTTTTAACACTCCCTCACCAAGCTTGTCAATAATTTTGTCAGGAGTTGTATATTGATAAAATTTTTCTGTTACAGCTCAAGCGTCGGGTAAAACAAGCAGAGAAGTTAAGTGAGACAAATTTGTTCAATTTGATGTTAACTAAATTACATAAAGGAAAAAAAAATGTGTTTACTTGCCATGGCTGCATTTTCTAAAAATAAACCCAGAAAAAGGATTTGCCTTCTTAGGATTAGATTCTGCTTCAGCCACTTTTCTTAACACCTTCCAGTGACAGAGGCACAAAACTGAGGAAAAACAAACACAATTTTTAAAATCTGGCAGCTACCTTGGACAAATTGCATGATTCCACACCAGTTACCAGGAGGAACAGTTGCTATGCATAACATGATCCAAAGAAGACAAATGTAACTGCAGCATTTCCAATTTAAATGTCTCTGCAATAATAAGAAAAAACCTAAATGTGAGTAACCACAAATAAAGTTTTTACACTAATTTTTCTGAAATTTTACATGATCAAGTTACTTCCATATTCTTTAAGTGAAAGTAATATAAAAGAGAAGAAAATTAATGCATTGCAGTGTCAAGAAAACAAAAGCAGTATAACACAAAAACCAAAGTCATTGAAGATGCTAACTCTGTTCTTACCAGACTGGTTTGTCCTTCTTTTAAGGATCACAGCTGTGCCGACAAGATTCAGAGCGAGGTTTTACCTGATGGGGGACAACGTCTCCCAACCAGCCGAACCAGCTGTCAGACGGGGGTCAGTGCTCACATCTGACACCTGCACAGTTTCCACTGCTGTTCCTGCAAACTTATAATGCATCTTTAAATGTCAGTCTGCCCATACAATAAACAAAACACCTGGCATGCACCCAGAGTCGTGTTCAACAAAATGTTAGAGGGCAAACGTGGTCTTTTTTATTTTTCTGAAGGGATTCACTTTGGTAGAAAATGAGAAAACGCTGCTGTTATTCTCCTTCTACAAAATAAGATGGAAAATTACTGAGAGTTTAATGGGAGGTCTTACCTCCATGAGATAAAGGACATTTTACCAGGAGTCCATTTCTTCTATAATCTCAAATTGGCTGATTCATTTTAATTACATAAAATCTTTTGAGTCTCTTGATCACTTTATTGGTGATTTGACAGATAAATTGTGTTGAATTTGTCTTTTGCTGTGGTATTGTTGTCCTGGTTTTAATTTTTTAACAATCCACCAACCAGTTATTCTGCACTGTTGTAATGAAACTCATCAAATATTAACATAGATTGTCTCTAAGTTTATACCTTCATCTGTCTTTTCCATATTTTAACATAATAATCCAGAGAAAAATAAAAAAGGTGAAGCTACATTGACCTTTAAAGAAGAATTGCATTGCAAACCCCTGATAAGTGAAGCTGACCTCAATCACAGGTTCAGATAGACAGTCAGTTTGAATTCATCTATTAGGATTTTCATGGTTTGAAATGTTTTCAACAAGTAATTTAATCTGATCTTGACAAGTTCTCCAGGAACTTACAATAAAAACAATGTGCTGAGATGGAGAGGCAAAATGCTGTTTTGTTCTGGAAGCATTGTGACATGCTCACACCTGAACACACAGGCACAAATCACAATGTGCTACACTTGTCAATTACCTCACATCCATGTAATTCTTTCTAAATGTGGTGCTGACAGCTGTTTTAACACACTGAAAACTGTAGAATTAGCCGCAGAAGCTCGGCTGCAGCTCAGGGTGTCTGTGAAAGACAGTTATTATGGAGCGGAAGCAGAGATACGGCTCTGGATGTACTGTCATCGATAATGCTGGGGGATCTCACCTCTTGCGGCGCCGTTGCTACATCGGGTTTGGAATTCACAGTGGAATGACAGACATGTCACAAAGATAAACTGCTGTCAGCCCGGCTTTGTGGGCTACTTGAGATGACTGCAACAATGGAGGGATTGAATCACCTTGTCATTCTCTGAGCATTTCCTCTTTTATTCCTGCTTTCACCAACTTGGCTTTGCCTGTAGCGTTGTCAGGGTCGTCCAAAAGCCCACAGGCCAGTGGCAGCCTTTGCTTTTTGTGACCCTGACTGAAGATTGACCCGAAGCTGCCGGAGGCGGGGTCACTATAGACGGAAGAATGACCTTAAATGAAGACTAAATTTAGCCTTTCTATATTCCAAACTCCGTGTTTTAGATTACTCGGATGTTTATTGTCACGTTGTGGTATGAATTATCTACATTTTAGATCTTTTTTGTCAGTCAGAAAAGATTCAGTTTTAGGTTGAATATCACTGCAATAATTTTTCCATTTCTCATGTATATTATAGATAAAATTTGCAAGGTGAGATTAATGTTTTAAGAAAAAATGTAAACTGCATTAGAATAAATAAAGAAAATGACAGAGAGCAATGATGCACATTTGTTTAAATTTGACAAGTAATAAAATGTTATTGTTGTTGCTGTTTTTATTTATTCTCCTATATGGAAAACCGGTGGCTAATTGCATTTTTCTTTTCTGGAGGAGATTTAAAGCATGTTGTCTATTTTATATGGAGACAAAGATGTTTTATCTCAGTCATTAAAAGGAATCACACAGTCTAAAATGACCTCTTAGCAATATAGCTTTGATTGTAGTTTTAACAGCTCAGTGACATAAAGCTTTATTTGTCATAAAATGTTATTGATTTCCTCTATTTCTCAAATGCGATTGTTTCTAAACTGTGCTAGTAAGACTGGCATCCAAAAAAAAACAAAAAAAAAAAAAAAAAAAAAAAAAAAAAAAAAAACAACAAAAAACCCAAAACCAAACAAGTCAACTTAGTTGCAGTGAATGAAAGTGATATTTATAGACCTGAAGTCAACATTTAATTATATAAAACCGTATTTCTAAGGTAACTAGAATTTATCAAACGCCAATTGAAATGTTCAGAAGGACATGAAAGAACAAGCACAGATTAAGCACACACAGCAAACCTTAACAAAATCCCAAGATCTCAAAATAACTTTACAAAACTAAGAAAAAAAAAAAAAATCTCTCCTCTATAGTACCCTTCAACATCCAGGATGGAGGTTCTCCTAAAACAAACATTTACCTTTTGTACATGTTAAGCAATGCTCAATGCACCAATTAGAAAAAATAAATGCTGTTTATCTTGTGCTTTTCACCAATGGATTGTTTCAGCATGTTTAAGTGAGAAAGAATCCTCAAATTCTAGGAATCAAACAAACTACCCACTTAGTAATTATATGCTGCACAACAGGATCCAAGAGGGGTGTGAAAAATATAGACAACCACTGCGCAGTGCCGGTGCTGACTCCAAACAGCTACTTCAAAGAGTCACTGATTGCTCATAGAGTAGGAACGCTGCCTGACTCACGCTGCTTACCTCTAAAAATGCATTAGAAAGACATCTTTGTTTTTGTGTGTTATTCCAGGAGATTTGCCTTTGCTGTTTTTTAATGAGCATATTAAGTAGCTAATTGGGAGATTAGACTCCTTGCTGCAGGCAGGAAACTGAGTCCCCTACTGTGCAGTTTACCATTCAAACACAAAGCTCCGACCGTCATGCCCCTCAGCTGAATTTCTAAAACTCATTCTTTCTCATATCAGTCTGCAGAAAAATGAATCCTCATCCAACGTAACAGAAATTAACTGGATAATCCATCGTTGTGCACAAACAGGCCGGCTTTGTCGGGAACATCTGAGGATGGAAAAGAAGAATTTAGTGTGGGTTCTGTGGTCAGCCATAACTATCTCTGAGAGCCACTGCGTCACAGACGGTTTCAGCTTTCACAGTTAAAGTTGATTGATTTTGAAATATCAAGAGATAATGGATGATTGGATTTGTTTGAATGTGTACTGACACAAGCAAAGTTACATGAAAGTCATGAAACTTTGAGTTATAAACATATATACCAAACAAATTAACTCTATAGTTTCTGTTTATTTTCACTGACAAGTCCTGGAAAAAGTCCCGAGAGTTTCATGCAAAGGATAAGTTCAGTTTAAAAATATATCTTTTAATGAGTAAATATGTGATAATAGCACTAAATGTAAAAAAAAAAATAAATTGAAGTGGTCGTATATATTTTTTATAATTGATGATAAATTTACTGCCAGGGTATGAAAGGTCAGCATTTAATACACTATCTGCAAGGCCATGAGTGGTCAAATAATTATTTATTGAATAATTAAAAAAAATAAACACGGCTGACCTGACTTTGAAGCCAGTGCATGCATTCAGCATGCCGAAGTGAGGGAATAGTTGCAGAGAAGGTGTGTGCATAGCATAATGTGAGACTAAGCAATGGTATTGGTAATATGTACGTACAAATACACACATTTTGTAACAGTATTGCATATTGTGTCATCTACATCTTGTTTCATTAGCTGTAACATCCAAAACATCTGTGGCAGCCTGGCTTAGTTATGATACATATGAAGCGTCAATTATGGCATGGAAATCGGATCATTATTCACAATCTTTGTATGCATCTGAAAGAAAAGGCAGGTATTAAACACTGGCATGGGAAGGATTAGAAATGTAGCTTTGTTCCAAATTAATGCACAAAACTATATTTTTGTACAATATCTGATATTTAAATGGAATATGTTTCAATATATTTCAATAATAAAAATACCTGGATGTTATCGCTTCAGCTTTCGTCATCTTGTAGTGGTTTCCTCAACAAACAATTATATAGTTTCCAAATGCTTTTTGTCCGTTCTGAGCTCTATTTTTTATTCAGAAATGGCAGGGAGGAAAAATTTTTTTTTTTTTATTTCTGCTTTTTAATAGTACCTGTTATTACTTTCACAGATAGTTATTTATGTCAACCATTTTCTTGAGAAAAATTAGGGAATATTACAGACACCTTGAATTTGCAGCCAAAATCCACAGAAATGTGAGTTCTTACCTAAAAATGCTCATAATAGCTTTTTAACGTCCATAACCTTTAGTGTCTCTGTTGTTGGGGGTCTAGTCAATAACCTGCAAGGAAAGTGCATGGCGCTCCTGAATTGGCTGTTGTGCAAACTCCAGGAAATAAGACATCTCTGAACGTTATAGCTCAGTATATCAGCTTCCAACGCTGCATTTTCTTTTGAGTGTTTTAGATTTGCTCTGCAAAAAAAAAAAAAATCTGAGAAAAGGCAAATTTTGGCAAATATGTTAGAGTTGTGTTTGACAAACATCCGCAAATAAGTGACTCTGAAAACACTGAACCGTGAACAGGTGGAGGTACACTGCACTGTTCCAAATGTTTTAAGAATTTCTAAAGCTACGAAGAATTTCTCTCTTTAATTGATTAAAGATTTTAAAAATGAGATGCCAAAGTAACATAATTCTTGACTGAATCACTCGGTACAAACTGCCTGTAGGCTCAAAGCCAGACCTGCTCTCATGTGTCCAGAGCAGATAAAAAGGTGAAGCAGCCTTGAAAAAAACTGCATGAGATGAAGCGCATTGCATTGAGTTACCTCAGCAATGTAAAATTGGATACATTTTCATATTTCTGAGTTAAATCTCATTGCATGCAATTGCATCTGTCCACTGCTCCAAGCTTGTTCAAAACAAGACAATATAGTAATCTTCTCACGTCAGCACAGCCGGCCCTCGACTCCCTTCTTGCCGCTCTTGCCACATCTCCAATCAAAGCGTCCCGCTGTGCCGGCCCGACTTGAGACTGGTGGCTTATGTGATCTGTCTTTCATCACAGCTGGACTCTCCTCCTGAGCTCCACTTAACCTCTGTGGTCTGTGTGTCTGCCAGACTCATTGAGGGAACCCTGACGCTGACGCTGGGGAGACAGAGACAGAAGAGTGTGTTTGTGTGTGTCCACCTGTAAAAGATGGGCGCTGTGCGGCTTTCATCTATTTTTCAAGGATGTATAATGGAGTTCCAAGAGCCGTGTAAATCCATTTGGCATGTAAAATCAGTGTGGATTATACAAAAAACAACAACAAAAAAATCTTTCTTCACACGGCGACTCCATCCCTTTGTTTGCATCTTGTTCGCTCCATTGTGTTGTATGCAATTTGAAGATTTTTACAAATCTTATAAGCAATATTGTTGCAGTAGCACAATAAAAAATATATAGAGAATTAGACAAACATAAAATAGAGAAAAGCTTCATTTAAGGGAAAAGTAGCTTCTTTTCTAGTAACTTTGTCAGCTTCATTTGTCTAAACGGATGATTCAGACGGAGATGCATCTGTTTCAGAATGGAAGCACACCTGTTGATGTTTATCAACTCAAACACGTTTCTAATTGTTTCTAATCTTATGTTTGGTTTATTTCTTAGATTTGAGGTTGTTAAGTAGGCATGATTATATAATGATTATATAGATAACAGATTTACTCTTTGATTGCATTATTAGCTCATATTAATGTGAATTCATATAATTAGTCAATCTTGCTTAATTCAATCTAAGTCCTCAAGTTAAAAAAAGCTTTAAAACTGACATTTTTTTGTGTTTTTGTACACACAAAGTTAATAAAATGAAAGCTTAAGTCTCATACTGTGTTTTATAGAAACCTTTAGTATTTTAAGCACTGAATTATTCAGTTGAGGTCTGACTACTCTAAGTAATATATGTCTATGTAGAACAACGATTAAATACAGTACAAGTTTACAAATGCAATAAAATTAGCAATAAAAACTGACAGCTAACTCTCTGTCCTTTCGTCTCTGTCCAACAGAATATTTATTTTCACTTAAATTTAGACAAACATGTCTTAAAAATAACTTTTCAGAAAGGCAAATCCGCTTGTTTAAAGTCAATATTGAATATAGAAAAAGTTCTAATTCCATTGGCAGATTTTTTTTTTTCACCTAAAACAGGAAAAATGTCTCTTTATAAGTTATAAAATCCACCAATGAAACTAACACGACTTTCATCTCTCTACAAGAATCATCTTAAAATGAGATTAGATATCTTGAACATTTATTTTTAAGTTAGTTTTGTCGTATTTTAAGTGTACTAAGATATTTGCACTAAAAACTAAACAGACATACTTGGTTAGATTTTCTCTTTCACACACATGGAGTAACATCGCATTTGATCCTAATATGAACAATGTGTGATGCCCGTGCTGTCACTAATTTCCCTGATTCAACCAGAATTAGTATCAGCAGGTCAAAGCTTAAAGAAAAAAAAAAAAAAAAAAAGAGTGGCCACTAAATTCTGATTGGTGCATAAAAGATACAAAATTAAAAAGAGCTATCAAGAGGATTTGAATAGGCAGTTTCTTGATTTTCTTTTCTCCAAAGAAGATGCGGCTTCATTTGAAGAGAAATGCCAACACACCAGCTGACATTACAGGGTCTCATTTTTAAATAACTGCTGCTTCTTTCTCCCACAAAGGCAGCAGCTTAGAGAGCCAGGGAGTGCATTAAGGGCAC